GGAGAGTGAAAATAGCCCCACCCACATTGTTGGCATCCCTGGGATCTCCACCAAATTTTTGTCTCAGGCTGAAATTTGATCTCCAGAAGAGTTTCTGCTGGACGCCACTCTCCACAGATCGATGCTCATCCGCTCACGCTGCTCCGTGGTGGAAGGACTCAGCCAGCGTTCCTGTTCCAAATCCTGATTTCGGGGTCCTCCCTCTGATTTTTGGAAAAATCTGGAGCTGTTGGAGAAGCACCATGGTCTGGTGCCTGTGCTTTATGTCCGAGGACGAGAAAAACGCCATGGTGATTGACAAAGAAATCAGCCGACTGCTTCAAGAGCAGAAGAAACGGGATCGGTGGGAATTAAAATTGCTCCTGTTGGGTGAGTACACAACTATACAGGCAGTCCTCGACTTACAACAGTTCCTTTAGCGACCGTTCGAAATTGCAGCGGCGCTGAAAAAAAGGGACTGTGACTGTTTTTCGCACTTACGACCGTTGCAACATCCCCGCGGTCACGTGATCCAAATTCAGACGCTTGGCCACTGACTCGTATTTATGACGGTGGCGGTGTCCTGGGGTCAGTGATCCACTTTTGCGACCTTCTGACAAGCAAAGTCAACGGGGGAAGCCGGATTCACTTAACAACCGTGGTACTAACTTAAAACAGCTGCAGGGATTCACTTAACAGCTGTGGTTGTGAAATGGGGAAAAATTCACTTAACAACCGTCTCGCCTAGCGACGGAAAATTTGGGCTCAGTTGTGGTCGTAAGTTGAGGACTACCGGTATGTGGTATTTTGGGCTATAGATAGTCATAGGTATGAGTATCTTTCATTAGCACTCAGGCAGAATAATTTACCTCCTTTTCCCTCTTCCTCATTATCTGGGGAATGTCTTGATAAGGCCATACTTGGAATATGGCATCCAGTTTTGGTCACCAGGATGTAAAAAAAGATGTTGAGACTCTAGAAAGAGTACAGAGAAGAGCAACAAAGATGATTAGGGGAGGGGAGGCTAAAACATATAAGGAACGGCTGCTGGAATTGGGTATGTCTAGTTCAGTGATGGCAAACCTTTTAGAGACCGAGTGCCCAAACTGCAACCCAAAACCCACTTATGCATCGTCGGGTGCCGGCCCGATTGGCTGGGCGTGGCTGCAGTGGTAACGGCAGACTGGGTGGGACTAAAAAGTTCAATCAATCAATTCCAACTTTGCAGGATTTTTTTTTTCCCCGCGAGAAGTTGAAATTGACTGATTGATTGAACCTTTTTTTCCCCCCATACTGTGGCAGAGGCCTAAAGTGAAAAGGTTTTATAAAACCCAACTGAAGGCCTAGGACTGGGGCGATGGCGCGCATGCCCACAGAGAGGGCTCTGAGTGCCACCTCTGGCACCCGTGCCATAGGTTCGCCACCACTGGTCTAGTTTAATGAAGAGAAGGACGAGGGGGGACATAATAGCAGTCTTCCAATATCTCAGGGGCTGCCACAAAGAAGAGGGAGTCAAGCTATTCTCCAAAGCACCTGAAGGCAGGACAAGAAGCAACGGATGGGAACTAACCAAGGAGAGAAGCAACCTAGAACTAAGGAGAAACTTCCTGACAGTGAGAACAATTAACCAGTGGAACAACCTGCCTCCAGAAGTGGTGAATGCTCCAACATTGGAAGTTTTTAAGAAGAAACTGGACAGCCTTTTGTCCGAAATGGTATAGGGCTTCCTGCCTGAGCAGGGGGTTGGACTAGATGACCTCCAAGGTCCCTTCCAATATTATTATTATTATTATTATTATTATTATTATTATTATTATTATTATTATTATTATTATTATTATTATTATTATTAATTATTATTATTATTATTATTATTATTATTATTATCATCTATCAGACTCTGCGGATAATGATTTCCTGCGTCATTCATGTATTCTTTACAGCTAGTTCTTGACTTACGACCATAATTGAGCTTGGCAATTATAGTCGGAAATCATAACAGTTGTAAAGTGGGTCATCTTTACAATATTTGTTAAGCGAATCCATTCTTCACTATGGAATCGGGTTGTAAGTAGCGTTTGTGTGTGTGTGGAGGGGGGTCTGTCGTAACTTTGAATGATTGTAAATTGAGGACTACCTATAGAATAGAAGGAAGAAGAATGATTTGAAGGCCTGTTCTGAATTCTTCCAGATCCCCTTTTTTGGGGGCAATTCTCCTCCAACTATCCAAAATGTAAAACTTGAAGCAAAATACTAAATTTGGGCAAAGAAATGTTAGCATTAATTTTAGCAATCAAGCAAATAGACTTCCTGCAGCCACAGGATGTTCAAAAAGTCAAGATGGCGGCTGCAACGCCATGAGGGAAGTTCCGCTTATTTTTAATGCCGAACATTAAAGCTGACAAACTATTGTTTTTCCTCCCAAACTGTAAAAAAAGCACCAGTAAAAAAGCCCAAACTTCATCTGTCCCAGTCTGATGAAGCACCTATTTGTTGCTTTACGTTTAAAAGCCAACACACGCCTATAAAACTGAGTGTTTACACAATTTGTCTGAGGCGTTTTTCAGGATTAATGCTTGTTATGAGTAATGTGCCAAAGTCCAACAAACGTTACTGCCACAGTTGCAAATATTATTGTTAACCCCACCTCCATTTTTATGGATTCATGAAGATTAAAGCAGCTGAATAAAAGGTTTAGGAGCCCTTGGCTTGGTATCAGTTGCAACGAGGATGCTTTTGAAAAGGAGACAACGAACAAGCCAGGTTCCGCTAGCTGAAGTGAGATGTTAGCTAGTTAGAGAATGGCACAGATTTCCACTTTAGGTTTGGAAGTGACCCCGATTAAAACAATTAACCGGTGGAACAACCTGCCTCCAGAAGTTGTGAATGCTACAACACTGGAAATTTTTAAGAAGAGATTAGACAGCCATTTGTCTGAAATGGTATAGGGTTTCCTGCTTGAGCAGGGGGTTGGACTAGAAGGCCTCCAAGGTCCCTTCCAACTATTCTACTCTACTCTACTCTACTCTACTCTACTCTACTCTACTCTACTCTACTCTACTCTACTCTACTCTACTCTANATAAATATCCATTAAAACCAAATTAAAAGAAAATATTTGAAGCGGCCAATCGTTAAAATTAACCTTTAAAATACCCTTAAAAACCCCACTAAAATTCCCTAGGCCAGACCCGCTTGTTGAAAAAGCCATGTCTTTAGGGCGCGGCGGAAGGAGGGGAGATCCGGGATCACCCGGATCTCTGGGGGTAGTTCGTTCCAGAAGGTTGAGTAAGCTGGAAGGTTGCAGCATCTCCAGGGTCTTGTGATTTACATTCAGATGCTTGGCAACTGATTCATATTTATGACGGTCACAGTGTCCCAGGGTCATGTGAAGTGGCCAAAACCTGCAGCAACCACCCAGCAGATGGGGGGGGAATAAAAACCAAACACCCCCCACCCCACCCCCGCTGCCAATCCTCAACAGAAATGCTCACAACAATGAAAACCTCGGACAGGAGGAAGAGCGCCGCCGGGTGGGCAGGCAGGTGTCTTGCTCGGCTGTGGCTTGGGGGGCACTTTTTTCAGTGCCATTATAACTTCAAACAGTCACTAAGCGAACTGTTGTAAGTCGAGGACTACCTGTACTTTATCACTTTTTTCCTTTTTTGGGGGGGGGTCATCAAGTTTTTGACATCTTGCTAGGCGACTGGTGGTACTCGGATGTTGCCATATCCCAAAAGTGGTACAATGGGTGAAAAGGTTGAAAAGCCCTGGTCTAGAGGCTGGCTGGGGAATTCTGGGAGTTGGAATCCAGACGCCTTGATGTTGCTAAAGTTGAAAAGCACTGGTTTAAATGCTGGGCGAAGAATTCTGGGAGCTGAAGTCCACAAATCTGGCTGAGCAATTCTTGGAGCTGAAGTCTACCCACTTTAAAATTGATAACGTTGAGTAATACTATACTAGAGAAATATTTTCCTGTTTTTTATTCTCTCCTTTTTTAAAACTGAAGTGACCAAGTTCCAAATCAGCAAATTTCTCCCTGTAAACCAGGAACTTTGCCATCAAAGCACTCGTTCCTTCCTTCCCCAAAGACTGAATTTGGTCTCTTGTGTTGTTGATCTGTGCTTTCATAAGTTTTTTTCCTATCACCTCCAGCCTCGTGGTTATAAGAAGGTTGGCTGTAAGATAGGCAGCTCTATAAATGTTTTAAATAAATGAAACCAATCAATCGTTGGCGATTAAGTGCCTTTGAGCATCTGGTACCATGAAAGGAAACCCTTGCAAAATGGCCAGACTTAATAACAGAATAATATTGGAAGACTGCTATCATGTCACCCCTTGTCCTTCTCTTCATTAGACTAGACATACCCAATTCCAGCCACCGTTCTTTGTATGTTTCAGCCTCCAGTCCTTTAATCATCTTTGTTGCTCTGAATAACAAAATAACAGCGTTTGAAGGGACCTTGGAGGTCTTCTAGTCCAACCCCCTGCTTAGGCAGGAAACCCTACCATTTCGGACAAATGGCTATCCAGTCTCTTCTTTAAAACCTCCAGTGTTGGAGCATTCAGAACTTCTGGAGGCAGGTTGTTCCACTGGTTAATTGTTCTCACTGTCAGGAAGTTTCTCCTTAGTTCCAGGTTGCTTCTCTCCTTGATTAGTTTCCATCCGTTGCTTCTTGTCCTGCCTTCAGGCGCTTTGGAGAATAGCTTGACTCCCTCTTCTTTGGGGCAGCCCCTGAGATACTGGAACACTGCTATCATGTCCCCCCTCTTCATTAAACTGGACATACCCAATTCCAGCAACCGTTATATGTTTTAGCCTCCAGTCCCCTAATCATCTTTTTTTCTCTTCTCTGTACTCTTTCTAGAGTCTCAGCATCTTTTTTACATCGTGGTGACCAAAACTGGATGCAGTATTCCAAGTGTGGCCTTACCAAGGCATTGTAAAGCGGTATTAACACGTGATCTTGATTCTATGAGACTGTGGTTCATTTTAGTGATGGATGATGATGATGATGATGGTCAGGACAATGCTGCAGCATTTGGGCTTCCGTACAAAGGGGGTTGGACTAGAAGACCTCCAAAGTCCCTTCCAGCACTGTTATTCTGTTACGTTGAACTAGACCTGGAGGCCAGATATTCTACTGGAAAACCAAGAGCTTGCGTTGTTGATTTTGTGTCTTTTGTGCATTACCCATCAGGCACTGGGGAAGGTGGAAAAAGTACCTTTATCAAGCAGATGAGGATTATCCACGGAGTGGGATTCACGGAGGACGAACGGAAGGACTTTGCCAAAGTGGTCTATCAAAACATCTTCACCTCTATCCAGGCCATCATCAAAGCAATGGAGAGTCTTCAGATTCCTTATGCCCAGGAGGAGAATGCAGTGAGTATCTACATGCAGGGAGTCCTCGACTTACAACCATTACAATCCGGGGCAGTTTGAAGTTACGACGATACTGAAAAAAGTGACTTATGACCCCATGGTCATCTGATCAGTATTTAGACCCTTGGCAACTAGTATGTATTTATGTATTAAAAATGAAGGAATGGGGTTGATTTTTTTTTTGAGGTTCCATTTTTCCCTGCATCCTTGAAATATTTTTAGTTTTATATAATAGATCATTTGAGAGGGGGCTGGAATTATTTGTTTTGTCTACTTTATGTACATCTTATTTCTCACAGCGTCCTACAGGTAGTCCTTGCCTTATGACAATTGGGACCAGACTTTCTGTTACTAAGCGGGACGGTTGACCTAAATGAGTCATTCGTGATTTTACGACATTTTACGCCATGATTGTTAAGCAAATCACTACGGTTGTTAAGTGAATCACGTGGCCATTAAGTGAATCTGACTCCGCCCAGTAACTGCTTGTGGGAAGCCAGCTGGGAAAGTCAAAAATGGCAATCACATGACCCCGGGATGCCACAAGTTTTGTGAATGCACGCCGGTTGCCAAGCTCTTGAATTTTGATGCCGTGACCGTGAGGATGCTACGACAGTCATAAATGTGAGGACTGGTAGTAAGTCACTTTTCCAGTGCTGTTGTAACTTTGAAGGGTCACTAAACAAATAGTTGTAACTCAAGGATTACTCCTTATAAACATGGAGATACTATTTTTCCCCCTATATTGGTTAATACAGGTAGTCCTTGACCGAAATTCAGCCTCAAATTTCTATTGCTAAGCGAGACAGTTGCTAAGTGGGTTTTGCTCCACTTTACGACCTTCCTTGCCACCGCTGCTTTAGTGAATCGCTGCAGTTGTGAAGCTGGTTACTCGATTGTTAAGTGAATCTGCTCTCCCCATAGATTTTGCTTGTCAGAAAGTCATCAGAAAAATAAGGGTCACAACTCACTTGTTTCAGTGCTGTTGTAAGTCCGAACGGTCACTAAATGAATGGTTGTAAGTTGAGGACTACTTGTAGTGACAAATAGACCATCGCTGTCCTGAAATCACTTCACACCTCCATGATCACTGTCCTTCAGTAGGTAGCTTTCAGTGAAATGGGTCTCCTCTGAATTATTCCTCTAGAACAGGGGTTTTCAAACTGGGCCCTTTTATGACTCGTGGACTTCAACTCCCAGAATTCCTCAGCCAGCCATGCTGAGGGGAAAGGGAGAGGTTTCCAAGCTGACGCATGCTGGCTCAGGAATTCTGGGAGTTGAAGTCCACAAGTCATAAAAGAGCCAAGTTTGAAGACCCCTGCTCTAGAACAGAAGTGGGGAACTGGGCCCCTTTATGACCTGTGGACTTCAACTCCCAGAATTCCTGAGCCAGCACGGCTCAGCTTGGAAATCTCTCCCTTTCCCCTCAGCATGGCTGGCTCAGGAATTCTGGGAGTTGGAGTCCACGAGCCATAAAAGGGCTACAGTTCCCCACCTCTGTCTTGGAGGATAGGAAAGTTTCTTGATTGGCATGGCTGGCTCGGGAATTCTGGGAGTTGGAGTCCAGAGGTCATAAAGGGGCCACAGTTCCCCACCCCTGCTATAGAATTTTCCTACCCCAACGTTTTATGCTTCGCTCATTTCTGCCTCTAGCAAAAGGCCCGGCTGCTTCTGAACGTGGATGCCTATACAGTGGTCTCCATGGAGCCCCATCACGCCCGGATCATCGGCGGCCTCTGGGAGGATGCTGGCATCAGGACCTGTTATAAGAGGCGAAGCGAATTCCACCTGCTCGATTCAACGTCCTAGTGGGTTCCTTTAATCTAGTTCATTCTTAGTTTCCATCAAGCAGCGCATGTTCTTACCTTGTGTTGTGTTGTGTTACCAGTTGTGTTGGAATGCTTGGCACCGTGGCGGTGCAATGATTTGTGTGCTTCCTGAATGGACAGTGGATGTGAGTTAAAGGTAAAGGTTTCCCCCGTCCAGTGGTGTCCGATTCTAAGGGCGGTGATCTTCTCCGTTTCTTAGCTGAGGGAGCCAGCTTTAGAATCAGAATAGGGCTGGAAGGAACCTTGGGGGTTTTCTAGTCCAGCCCACTGCTCAAGCAGAAGACCCTATGTATCTGTCTGTCTGTCTGTCTGTCTGTCTGTCTGTCTGTCTGTCTGTCTGTCTGTCCATCCGTCCGTCCGTCCGTCTGTCGATCCATCCATCCATCTATCCATCTGTATCTATCTATCTATCTATCTATCTATCTATCTATCTATCTATCTATCTATCTATCTATCTATCTATCTATCTATCTATCTATCTATCTATCTATCTATCTATCTATCTATAACATATGAGGAATGGTTGCTGGAATTGGGTATATCTAGTTTAACGAAGAGAAGGACGGGGGGGACATGATAACAGTCTTCCAGTATCTCAGGGGCTGCCCCAAAGAAGAGGGAGTCAAGCTATTCTCCAAAGCCCCTGAAGGCAGGAAAAGAAGCAACGGATGGAAACTAATCAAGGAGAGAAGCAACCTAGAACTAAGGAGAAACTTCCTGACAGTGAGAACAATTAACCAGTGGAACAACCTGCCTCCAGAAGCGGTGAATGCTCCAACACTGGAAGTTTTTAAGAAGAGACTGGACAGCCATTTGTCCGAAATGGTAAAGGGTTTACTGCCTGAGCAGGGGGTTGTACTAGATGACCTCCAAGGTCCATTCCAACTTTATATTATTATTATTATTATTATTATTATTATTATTATTATTATTATTATTATTATTATTATTATCATCATCATCATCATCATCATCATCATCATTATCTAATCTATCTATCTATCTATCTATCTATTTATATCTATCATTATATTTTATATCTATCATCATCTCTACCATTCATCTATGTCTATCATCTATATATCTATCATCTATATCTAATCATAATCAGAATAGGAAGGGACCTTGGAAGTCTTCTAGTTCAGCCCCCTGCTCAAACAGGAGACCTATACCATTCCAGACAAGTGGCTATCCAGTCTCTTCTTAAAAGCCTCCAGTGTTGGAGCGCCTACGATTTCTGCTAGCAAGCTGTTCCACTGGTTGATTGTCCTCACTGTTAGGAAGTTTTGGTTGCTTCTCTCCTTGTTTAGTTTCCATCCATTGTTTCTTGTTCTGCCTTCTGGTACTTTGGAAAATAAATTGACCCCCTCCTCCTTGTGGCAGCCTCTCAAATAATTGAATGGAATATAGAATTCTTTATTGGCCAAGTGAAATTGGCCAATAAATATGAACTGGACACATAAGCTGTCAGCGTACACACAAGTGACAAGTGATAAATCGTGATCATAATCATAAAATGCAATCAACATAAATCATAATAGGGTACCAATAAAAGCAGTCAACATAAATCATAAGATACAATCAACGAAGTTACACAGATAGTCCTCAACTTAACGACCACAATTGAGCCCCAAATTTTTCTTGCTGCATGAGATATTTGTTAAGTGAATTTTGCCCCATTTTACGACCTTTCTTGCCACAGTTGCTAAGTGAATCGCTGCAGTTGTTAAGTGAGTAACATGGTCATTAAGCAAATCTGGCTTCCCCATTGACTTCGCTTGTCAAAGGGTCGCAAAAGGGGATCACATGACCCCGGGAGACCGCAACGGTCGTAAATAGGAGTCAGTGGCCAAGTGTCCAAATTTTGATCCCGTGACCACGAGGATGCTGCAACGGTCGCAAGTGTGAAAAATGGTCATAAGTCACTTTTGTCAATAAGATTGTAGCTTTGAACAGTCATTAAATGAAATGTTGTAAGTCAAGGACTACTTGTAGTTATAAGGAGCTAAGGAAACAGGTACTAGGAAAGTTGAGAAGGATAATAGTAATAGTAATAGAGTTCTACAAGGTGGACACTCCTCTGGTCATACATGACTATACACAGAGGTGCACAGAATGCTGTTACCTTCCCAACAGTTCATTTAGTGACCGTTCAGAGTTACAACAGAACTGAAACAAGCGACCTAAGACCGTTTTTCACACTTACGACCGTTGCCTCATCCCCATGGTCATGTGATCAAAATTCTGACGCTTGGCAACTGATTCATTTTTATGACGGTTGCAATGTCCAGGGATCATGCGACTTGACTTTTGTTATTAACAACCACAATGCTTCACTTGACAATTGTGGCAAGAAAGGTCGTGAAATGGGGCAAAACCCACTTAACAAAAATGTTTCAGCTAGCAACATTTAAGCAAGAAAAACCAAATGCACAGGTATAGTATAGGGGGTACCTTGCTTAATAGTAGTAACTGTGAGAGGGATCTCGGAGTCCTAGTGGACAATCACCTAAATAAAAGCCAGCTGTGTGCTGCAACTGCCAAAAAGGCCAACACAGTGCTAGGCTGCATTAACAGAGGGATAGAATCAAGATCACGTGAAGTGTTAATACCACTTTACAAGGCCTTGGTAAGGCCACACTTGGAATACTGCATCCAGTTTTGGTCACCACGATGTAAAAAAGATGTTGAGACTCTAGAAAGAGTGCAGAGAAGAGCAACAAAGAGGATCAGGGGACTGGAGGCTAAAACATATAAGAAACGGTTGCTGGAATTGGGTATGTCTAGTTTAATGAAGAGAAGGACGAGGGGGGACAGGATAGCAGTCTTCCAATATCTCAGGGGCTGCCACAAAGAAGAGGGGAGGGTCAACATATTCTCCAAAGTGCCAGAAGGCAGGAGAAGAAGCAAAGGATGGAAACTAAGCAAGGAGAGAAGCAACCTGGAACTAAGGAGAAACTTCCTGACAGTTAGAACAATTAACCAGTGGAACAACCTGCCTCCAGAAGCGGTGAATGCTCCAACACTGGAAGTTTTAAAGAAGAGACTGGACAGCCATTTATTCGAAATGGTATAGGACTTCCTGCCTGAGCAGGGGGTTAGACTAGATGACCTCCAAGGTCCTTTCCAACTTTATTATTATTATTAACATAAATTTTGGGCTCGGTTGTGAACATGTTGAGGACTGCCTGTAATCTATTTGCATTTGTAGGCTGACCCTCGGCTGTAAGGCTCAACCCTCTCTCCTAGCTTATGTAACATCCACATCAGTGTGTTTCTCAATCTTTGCACCTCTAAGTCCTTGACTTACCATCTTTTATTTAGCAACCGTTTGAGGTAACAGCAGCACTGACAAAAATGACTTGCAATCGAACTTCGCACCTTGCAACCGTCATAGCATTCCCACAATCCTGTGATCAGAGTTTGGGTGCTTGGCCACCCAGCATGTATTTACCATGGTTGCAGCGTCCTGGAGGGTCACCTGATCGCCCTTTGTGACTTTCCCAGCTGGCTTCTGACAGTTAAACTAATGGGAGAAGCTGGATTTGCTTAACGACTGCACGATTCACTTAATGACTGCAGTCTTTTGCTTAAGAAATGCGGCAAAAATTGTAAGGTAGGGCACGAGTCATTTAACAACCCTTTCTTTAGCAATGGAAATTCCTGGTTCCAGTTGTGGTCATAAGTCAAGAGCTACCTGTATTTTGCATTTTGTATACCCAACTGGACAACCTTTGTCTGTTGGGTCATCACTTCAGAGAAACAGAATGACCACAGGTGGGGAAAATAGCAGTAGTACTTTCGACTTCCTGCTGGCTTCCCCATTGACTTTTCCTGTGGGAATCTGGCAGGGAGCATTGGAAATTTTCCCTTCCCTTCCCACCAGGCAGTAAGCGGCTGCTGCTGGGTGTGGGGAAGGAGTGAAGGATTACTAGACTGGCTTGGAAACTGTCACAGAATGCGGAAAACAGAGATCATGTAATCACAGCAATAGCATAGCAGCCACAACAGCACAGCAGCGGCCAGTAGCACTGAAGCAGCCACAACTTCCCCAGATTTCAGGCTGGCTGGGGAATTCTGGGAGCTGGTCTACAAATGCAGGCTGGGGAATTCTGGGAGTTGAAGTCCACCTATCTTACAGTTGCCAAGTTTGAAAGGCACTGTACCAGAGAGGTGTGTGCATTAACTTTGAGTTACTCCATCCGTGCATTGCCCAGAGTGACAGTTGTCACTCTCTGTTTTTCAGCTTCCTATCGAACCTGGACCGCATTGCTTCTGAAGGGTACGTGCCAAACGCCCAGGATATCTTGAGAACTCGTGTGCCCACGACGGGCATTAATGAGTACTGCTTTTCAATGCAAAAGGTGACATTAAGGTAAGCTGAAAAAGGATTCATCTCCGAGCGCTTTTGTTTCACAAGGAAATAATCAGGGGTGGACAACTGCTGGCTTAGGAATTCTGGGAGTTGAAGTCCACAGGTCATCAAGGAACCATAGTTGCCCAGCCCCGTCAGAATCAAGAGATTAAACATTCTGAAAGGGTCGGTCATAGTATGAGAGATTGTTGTTGTGTAAGAGCAACACATGAGCACAAATGATAGGAAAATGCCCCCCTCTGGCGAGAAGGGAATGTATTGCAATCTCATCCCTGAGATCCTCGCACTTATGGGAGAAGTCGGATTTGGTTAATGACTACATGATTCATTTAACAACTGCAGTGATTTGCTTAACAACCATGGCAAAAAAGGGTCATAACTCACTTAACAACAAACTAGCTTAATAGTGGAAATTCTGGTCCCAATTGTGGCCATATGTTAATCAATTCAGAATAGAGCTGGAAGGGACCTTGGAGGTCTTCTAGTCCAGCCCCCTGCTCAAACAGGAGACCCTATACCACAGGTAGGCAACCTTGACTCTTTTATGACTCGTGGACTTCAGCTCCCAGAATTCCTGAGCCAGCCATGCTGAGGGGAAAGGGAGAGGTTTCCATGCTGAGCCATGCTGGCTCAGGAATTCTGGGAGTTGAAGTCCACGAGTCATAAAAAGAGCCAAGGTTGCCTACCCCTGCCCTAAACCATTTCAGACAAGTGACTGTCCAGTCTTTTCTAAAGATTTTTTTTTCATGTCTCCTTTTTTAGGATCGTTGATGTTGGTGGGCAGAAAACTGAACGCCGGAAGTGGATCCACTGTTTCGAAAATGTGATTGCCTTGATCTATTTGGCATCTCTGAGCGAGTACGATCAGTCGCTGGAGGAGAATAATAGCGAAGTAAGGAGCAGTGTTGAGACAGGAATATTTGGGGATAGAGCAGGGGTAGGCAACCTTGGCTCTTTTATGACTCGTGGACTTCAACGCCCAGAATTCCTGAGCCAGCCATTCTGAGGAGAAATGAAGAGGTTTCCATGCTGAGCCATGCTGGCTCAGGAATTCTGGGAGTTGAAGTCCACGAGTCATAAAAGGGCCAAGGTTGCCTACCCCTGGGATAGAGGGATAATTAAGGGAGAGGATTGTGTCTGTATGTGTATGTGTATTCTCTGTTGCAATGTATGGATGTGAAAGTTGGACCATAAGAAAGGCTGAGCGCCAAAGAATTGAGGCCTTTGAACTCTGGTGCTGGAGAAGACTCCTGCGAGTCCCCTGGACTGCAAGGCCATCAAACGGGTCAGTCCTAGAGGAGATCAACCCCGACTGCTCTTTAGAAGGCCAGATTCTGAAGTTGAAACTCAAATATTTTGGCCACCTAATGAGAAGGAAGGACTCACTGGAGAAGAGCCTCGTGCTGGGAAAGATGGAGGGCAAGAGAAGAAGGGGACGACAGAGAACGAGGTGGCTGGATGGAGTCACTGAAGCAGGAGGCGTGAGCTTAAATGGACTCCAGAAGATGGTAGAGGACAGGAAGGCCTGGAGGAACGTTGTCCATGGGGTCGCGATGGGTCGGACACGACTTCGCAATTAACAACAACAACAACAACATTCTCTCTCTCTCCCTCCCTCTGTATATATGTGTACTGTACATATTGTGAATTTATATGAGTGAGTTTTGTGGAGTGGTGGAGAAGAAGGGGAGGAAAAGGGAAGAGGAGGAGGACTGTGGGGTCCTTGATGCTCTCTGAGCTTGATGGTTTTCTTACGGACATTTCATTACCCAACATCATCAGTGCTAAAATGAAGTGATGTTTACTCTCTGTTGTATAGACGTGACTTTCCTGTCAGTGGTAAGCCAGAGCAAACCACTTGTATGTAAACTAAGAGCTCTCTTCTAGCTCTCAGTTTATATACAAGTATACCACTCCCTTCTAGCACTGATGATGTTACCTAGTTGGGTAATGATGATGTTACCTAGTTGGGTAAAGCTCAGAGAGCACCAAGGACCCCACAGTCCTCCTTCTCTTTTCCTCTCCTTCTTCTCCACTGCTCCACAAAACTCATCAAGGTAGCACTGCTATTACCTAGTTTGGTTGTGAAATGTCTGCAAGAAAACAAACAGCCAAGCTCAGAGAGTTCCAAGGACCCCACGGTCCTCCTCCTCCTCCTCCTCTCGTTTCCCTCCCTTCTTCTCCTTCACTCTGGAAACTTCACTCCCTTCTAGCATGTGGATAATGTTACCTAGTTGGGTCATGAAACGTCTGCAAGAAAGCCATCAAGCCCAGAGAGCGCCAAGCACCCCACAGTTCAACCCTAAACTACAAATATTCTCTTCTGTCAGAATTTATGCACATTGTCTGGCCTTCTGGTCCAGCTGAAATGTCTCTCGGTTGTCTCTCTGAGCAAACCAATGTCTGCAGAATCTTTGGAACAAACTTCTGCTCCTTGTTCTTGATGGCTCCTTCTTTGCTTCCCCATTGTTTTTATTTTTATTTTTGCTCTTTCCTATCAGAACCGAATGAGGGAGAGTTTAGATCTCTTCAGGACAATTCTGGAGCTGCCGTGGTTCTGGAACACCTCAATTATTCTCTTCCTCAATAAAGTGGACATCCTGGAGGAGAAAATTCTCACCTCGGACCTGGATGCCTATTTCCCCACTTTCCCAGGTAATGTTTCCTGCTTTGGGCAGCGTTGAGGAGTGGTTAGAGAGGAACTGTCTGCAAAGCGGCACGTTCTTAGAAAAGGATTGCCAAATTGGTGCAAACTGGGGCCTGCTTCCCTAATCTGAACCCTCACCTAAATTTTGGGAAAGGTGCTCTTTCATTACCTCAGTTACAGTTGGTCTTCAACTTACGACCGCAAATGGGACTGGTCATTAAGTGGTCATTAAGTGAATTGGGCCCAATTTTACAGCCTTTTTTTGCAGCAGTTCAACAAATCACTTCAGTTTGCTAAGTGAATCATGCCGTTAAGAAGCCGGATGGGAAGGGCGTCAGAAGCCGGATGGGAAGGGCATAAGTGGTGACCACATAACTCCGGAACGCCGCAACCATCATCAATCCATGCTGGTTTGCCAAGCACCCAAATTTGGATCATGTGACTGCTGTGGTCATAGGCACAAGGACCGGTTGTAAGTCACTTTTTAAAGTGCCATTGTAACTTCAAACACTTGCTAAAGGTTGTAAAATAAGGACTATCCGTATTAGAGACGCTGTTTGGCTGGAAAACTGGTTTGAATCTCTGGAAATCACCTATTATTGCAGCTTAAAATTGTGCTTATTAAAGCTTCAAACTGCAGTAAGATTTTTGAGACACCCTGTATTTATCTAAAACACGGGTGTCAAACTCGCCGCGTCACGTGACGTGTTGTGATGTATCGCAATTTTTTTTGCATTGCTGGAGCTGGGGTGGGCGTGGCCTCTGCCTGATGCAACCTGCCCATGGGCCGGCAGTTTGACACCCCTGATCTAAAAGGTAAAATCCTTTTCCCCCCTCAAAAACATTACTAAAAATCCATTTAGTTTTCAGGGGAAAATTGCAAGCATGTATTGCCATAGCTTTCCCCCACAATGTCCAAATTCCCGGTCCAGACTACGTTTTGTGATTTCCTGGTGGTGCCCCATCCAGTGGCTAGCCAGGTCTACCTGTGCTTAGCTAATCTAGGGCCATATAAGATGGGTTAGGTGCTGCCCCCTGCTGGGTCATTTTCTTTTCAAATCTAAGATCACAAACCTAGCGAGAGGTAGTCCTTCACAGGTCATTTAGTGACTGTTCAAAGTTACAACAGCACTGGAAAAAAAGGGACTTAGGACCATTTTTCACAGTTACAACTTTGACAGCGTCATGATGACGTGATCCAAATTCAGACGCTTGGCAACTGGCTCACATTTATGACGGTTGCAGAGTCCCAGGGGGTCACGTGATCCCCATTTGCGACCTTCCGACAAGCAAAGTCAACGGGGAAGCCAGATTCATTTAACGACCAGGTTGCTAACTTAATAACCGCAGTGATTCACTTAACAACTGTGGCAAATAATGTCGTAAAAATGGGGCAAAACTCACTTAACGTTTGTCTCACTTAACAGAAATTTTGGGCTCATATTGTGGTTGTAAGTCGAGGGCTACCTGTAAAAGGAGGTAAATCCAGTTTTCAAATACCTAAACAGTCGGTTCTCTTATTGGGTTTAGGCCTGGGCCTCTGAGGCCTAGAACAGACTTCCGGAAGTGGCATCCACACATTTCCGGTGGGCCGTTCTAGGCCTGGAAGGCCTCCTCCAGGCCACAGAGGCCAAAAATGGAATTCCGGAAGTGGCATCCATGCACTTCCGGCGGGCTGTTCTAGGCCTGGGAGGCCTCCTCCAAACCTCCGAGGCCTAGACTGGACTTCCGGAAGCAGTGTGCATTAAGCCAGTTCTCTGAACTCAGCAAAATTTAGCTACCAATTCTGCTGAACAGGTGCGAACTGGCTGAATCCCACTACTGAGAGATTAGTTAGGCTAATGAAACATCTGCAAGAAAACTACCAAGCTCAAGAGAGCACCAAGGACCCCACAGTCCTCCTCCTCCTCTTCCTTTCTGCAAACCCCACTCTCCAATAGCCCTGATGATGTTACCTAGTTGGGTAATGAAATGTCTGCAAGAAAACAACCAAGCTCAGAGAGCACCAAGGACCCCACAGTTCAAATCTGAGCTGCAAATATTGTCTTCTGTTGGAACCCAATTCATGAGGTTTCTATCATCCTTCAAAATATGATTTCTTTAAATTTGCTCCTGTAAATTGCCCAATCCCAAAGAGAGGAAGTAAAAAAAAACCCCAGTCTGCTTAAGTCATACATTCATGAGAATAAGATGAAAAGACGCTTTGCGGTGGAAAAATAATAATTTGCAGCAGCTGTATATGTTAGGCATCCCTTCAGAAAAAAAGATGAGCCGAAATGGGCACAGGAATTTTAGGGCAAGCTTTAAAAATGTTTCCCTCAGACAGTCAGCATTGCTACCATGGTTAGTTGATTTGTCTCCATTCCCATTCCCCAGCTGTTTCTCTTGCAATTTGTCTCCTGTCTTCCCATCAAAGAAATGGGTGCATTTGCAGCCTCACCGGCATTGCAGATTACAAAGCTGACCTTGATTACAAAGCAAAGGGACCTTTAAGGCCACTCTAGCCAAGGACCAAGTAGACCCATTTCATGCCTGGCCTGGGAGGCGATGAAGGCAA